ATATAGTATACAGCTATTTCCATAATATTTGTGTTGTATTAGGTATTATGAATACTCTAGAGAGGATTTAAATTATACAGGAAGATGCATAGGTTATATGTAAATACTATACCATTTTATGTAAGAGACTTGAGCACTGCATATTTTTGTATGCAAGGAGGGTCCTGGAACCAATTCCCCATGGAGATAAGGGACAACTAGCTGAATACACTTGAAATAACTTTCTGTAATGTTTCATTTTGATTTAATTGCAACTAGTATTTCCCCTTTTGTATAAAATAACACTAAAAATAGCTCTTGCAATTACATTACATTTAGAATTCAGAAACTTATGTAGGTAGTGTAGTGGTCTAACTTGAAATGTTGGAACACAATATAAAGCAGAAGAATCTCATGTTAATGTGAAAATGACAAAGGATCTAAGTTGATTGTCATTCCAGTTAAAATGTCCTATATAGTCCCAACAGACAGTGAATTAATGAGTACTGAACCTTTAGCTCCTAAGGGAAATGTGGGGTTAGGTTCCTACAGGCCTCTAATTACAACATTTTCATCACCCGAAAAATATATAACTTTGTTTTCTGTGTGTTTCTATCGAAAGACGCTTTATTTAATATACAGGGTAGCCATAAAGTTCGTATGCAGTATAAATAGTTGTAACTATTTAAATTGCCTATGAACTTCATGGCCATCCTGTATGTTGGTTTGTTAACACTGAACCTTGGGGCCAACAGCATGACTCCTACATGAAGGAAGTTTATCTAATAAGTATTTTCTCCATAAGACGCATCACAGCCTTCTTGCACTTAGGGACACTAGATAGCACTTCACACTTCGGGGAGGCTTTACATGTGAATTCATCAACAAAAATTCAAAATAGACATTGAAAATGACACCTTTTTACGATATGTGAGCTAAAACAAGAAGGCAGAACATCACCTGTTTTGACCTGAGCCAGAAACATGATACCTCAACTGGGAATAAGTGCAGATTTTCCCTTGCACTGCAGATGTCTGTGAGTAATCAGTAAGGTGCCTCAGATTTAGGTTTGAGGATTACAAATTTTAGCAAGTAGGTGAACTTGCAGATAGTGAGGATGAGCCCTATCTTCTGTCCGTGCTTTTTCCTGTAAAATATAGTGGGATAGTACCAAGGAATTTTTTTAAGGTAAAAAATTCAAACACACTTCAATTATGTGTATACTACTATCCTTAGATAATTCTCAAGACTTACTATATTCCTGAAGTAAGGTTCTATAAAGCCATTTTTCAGATGGCTTTTAGTACTTCTATTTTTTAATCCAATTCTTGTCAGAACTAATCAACCATCATTGAGAGGGAAGTTTGGTTTTTAGATGACTCAGTTTTGTTATTTTCTGATTCTCTGTATTTTGCATTAGTGGTTTCATTAGGTACCAGTATTTCAGAGTTAGTTAAATTAAAACTGGATGGAATTCATAAGTCCACATAGTAATTAGGTATAGACAAATCTCAGTACCTTGCAACACACTGTTAAACTAATTTAAACGCCAGTATCATCCC